AAAAAAAAAAAAAAAAAAAAAAAAGGCAGCTCTGCTTTGTCTGTTGCTTCTGTTTGAGAACTCTCATAAATCTTGCCCAGAAAGCAACTTGGGCTTAAGGAGATCTAGCCAGCAAAGCTCTGGGAAGCAACTGCAATGTCTCTTGCTATGGATATTCTCTTCTTTCTGCCCCCTTAGTCCCCACTGCCCCCTCCACCCCGACCTTCTGACGTTATGCTGTGAAAAGCCCCACACCCTTTCCCACCCCACCAGGAATCTGAGTGAATTCAAGCTGTAAGCTAAAGGTAGTTAAAGTTGCTTATCAAAAAGCCTCACCTCGTGCTGAGTGAGTCCAAATATTATACTAGTTGTGTTTTTCAGTCCAGCCATAACCCTTCTCTAACACTCCCCCCGTTGGCTCGCCTCTCCCCCTCCCCCCGTGGAAGGGGTGGGATGGGAACCTTGCTCGACTTCATTGTTCCAAATGTAAGAGCTATTTGCCCCAAAGTGTCTTCGCTGTCTTTCATAGCTAATTATAATAACTGTCAGATGTCTGGAAAGTCTGGGCTGCCCTTGCTGGCGGAGTTAAAGTTTGCCTTTATTTTTTCCCCTTGGGGACAGATCAGGCCTGATTAGACACAGAGTACAAATAAAAGTGAACAACATACGTGTGTAGGGCTTTTTGTCTTTGTTTTTCTTTATGAACAAAGCAGCATGCTGGCTATGTCAGGAAGCAGTGTGGCATGCAGCCTGCGTGCAGGCACTGCCTTGGAGGATAACTCTTGGGGTTTTTTCCCTTCTTTTTTTTTTTTTTTTCTTTATTGGAGCGTACAAGAAATATTTCTGAATTCGATTAGCACTTTAGATACTTGTCCATCTCGTAAGAAGTAACCATCGATTTAGTGCATGTAACATTGACAATTTTAAGAGATTTGCTTTTCTGTGTGAAAATAAAAATAAATAGAGCCTGTACTCACAGTTTGATGTGCTGTGCAGGTCACTGTCTCCTTCTGCAGAGACAAGGAGGGTCGGAGGATGTCAAGGGTGCAGAATCCCAGTTTAATTCAGGAGAAATGTACAAATGTGCTTCCTGAAGTCGCCTGGAAGTCAGCCACTTGTGCTCAGACATCCCATTGCTGCTCTGCACGCTATACTATCTGCAGTTCTGAATTGAACTAAATACTGCCCATGTGAAAGACAGGGGAAACACAGTCATGTGGGACACACAAATCCACTCTATTGGCTCCGAAGGCACAACTTCAGCATTCTTGCATTTCCACCATTGGTTAACAGTTCAAGCTGAAAGAGTCTAGGTCCTCCTAGTGAGTCCGTTTTCCCTTTATGTGTGGAAGAATGACTGTAGGATTTTACAGTGACAGGATTAGTTAAGAAAGGGACTGAAGTCATCCCTTTGACTGAAGCTGGTGGGTGGGGATTGGAAGCTGTGCTTTTCTCAAGTCGACGTTTTTCCTTTTTCTGCCTGCGTTCTGTGTGTCAGGAAATGCTTGTAGTTACTTGGGTAGCACAGAGAAACTGAAGTGACTTTCTTCAGGTTCAGGGATGGGGACTTGACTTTTAGAGTAACATAGTGTTAAAGACTGTACAATGATTTTTATGGCAATAACTCTGCTCTGGCTGACTGAAGTGTGGTTAATTTATCTTTTCTAGAATTTTTTAAGCCCAGAAAGGGCTATATCAGGAACTTGAGTTTTTGCATCACATAAACCAGACAAGTGAATCCAGCAGTTTTTCAAAGCCTACACTAATAATTCAAGTGACAACAGAAAATAGATTTTACAGAACTATTGTATCTCTGGGGAATATTATGATGTCATAATATTATTTTGAAAGAAGCAACAAATTCTGTGAAATCTATAATTACTGGTATTTGGTCATTTTGAGAATAATGAAACTCTAAAGATTAAATAGGAGGGAAGAAGATTGACTATTCCCTATTTTGGTGTTCTGTCATTTGCCCGATTTAGTTATGCCAGTGTGAGCAGTAATTTGAAACGGTACTCAGTCATGTGTGACATACTTCTCCAATTAACCCTTATTAAAAAGACCTTCCCCAAATCCCACATACATGTTTTTCTAGAACCAGAGAAAGTAGAGGTATGACAGATTTGTCAGGGTTTGTGTCTGTCTTCCTCTCTGGGCAGGTTTATTTCTTCCTCTGTATTTCCAGGGCTTTGTCTAGTGTAGCTCTAAATACCCTGAAGTTGTAGCTCCTGTTGGACTGTTGAATTTAGGGCCTAATTTAGCAGTTGAAGTGCTTAACTATACTTGGAAATTTACCAGAATAATTATTCTGGAAAAGTAAATTCATTATATGCCTGTGGTCTATGCAAGGCCAAGCAAAGACAGACTGCACTGCTAGCGTTTGTACTATGTACAAGCTCCTATTCAGCAGCTTACGCCTGGCTCTGGCTGTCAGGACATCTTTTTGTTTCTACCAGTCAAGCTTGTTCAGACCACCTTAAAACAATGCTTCTTCCTCTTTAGAGTTCACCCTCTTAAGCTATTTATAGACTTTTATCATCACCTCACTGACCACCCTTGTCATCACTTAGCTGAACACCATATTCCAGGTGTAGCTGCATAAGATATGGGAACGTTCCTCTGTAGCCTGTGACCTGGTATCGATGCAGCAAATCAATATGTGTTTGCTCGATATGTGAGCAGGAAAAATATACGCCTTAAAAATATACTTACACACCTGACAAACAGGATTTCAAAGAAAATTAATACACTATATGTTCTACTCTGAGTTAAGAAGGAGGCCTTCTAAGGCCTTCATTGCTCCTAAGTCCTAAAAAGATGCAAAGTGTTTGTATTTCTTTAGCAGGCTCACTTAAAAATAATGTTTAGTAATAATATCTAAAAGGTGGGCTTTGGTTTTGTTGTTGTTTGGTTAATTTTCTTGAAGAAAGGTAATTGTCTGGTTTGGATAAAATAAGGCTACAGCAGTAGCATCAAAACTTTCTCTCCTCACTCCAAAAATGTTTTTAACTCCACTGGGCTTTCCACATCTGGACTCCAGAACACTGAAGGGAGACAACTGAAAACCCTGGGAGACATTTTCTTTTTTTCACAGCGCTGGTGGTCTTCATAATTTTGGTTACTTTTTTTGTTGTTGTTTAATTCAATTAAACTGGAAGAAATACTAATAAAAGAAACCTTACTCCAGAGAGCAGTAAACTCTCTCATTTTAAGACCAGTACATGGTCTTGTCTTAAATACATCTTTTTCTTGAATGCAGTTTCTGATTTTAAAACGCTGAGAAGTTATTTAAAGAGAAGGAATAAACATCTGAGTTCATTTAGTATTGTTTAGCTCTTTCCTCAAACAATTTATGAGTGAATTTCAGGAAAATTTAGGGAATCTGGAGCAATGATTATTGACTTGCACTTTTTGAGCTATGAATCAAAGACTTAGGTGATGCAAGCAGATATTTTTGTGATTCTTACAGTAGTTTGGAGACCAAATTAATACTTAGCATCACTTTCCTCTGCCGAGAAAGAAGTAAATACATCTTTATAGGACATCTTATTTTCCATATCATTTCCATTGAAAAGAAATCAAAATGAAGACTTTGGTTACATCATGTTCACATAATAAACTGCTGCTTTCTCCATTATTGGTAACTAGAGAAGAATTCATAACTGTAAGAGACAAAGAATAAGAGCATCATAAAATTACCACAGTGTGGAAAATAAGATTACTTTGCAAATTCTGTTGTTGTGATGACGCCTAAGATGTGAGACAAGGTGTTGCTGTACACCCAGGGCTGTCAGAGTCTGGAGACTGTAATGTTACTGCTTTGTGGTCCTCTGTGAGTCCATCCATTGACAGAATAGACTTCTATTTCTGGTTTGGGGCTAGGGGTTTTGGGGGGTTGGGCTTTTTTTCCTGATCTAGCAAAGATTGTTAAAGACGCTTAACTCCTGCCTCATAGAGGTCCTGTTCCTAAGAATATTCACTGTCCTCAGGCCAGGAACTCTAGGAAAGAAAAGAGATGACTGAAGTAAGTTAGAAATGGTAGTCACTAAAATAGCTCTTTTTCATTCTTTGGAATTTTTAGAGAGCATATTGTCTGAGGGGAAGAAAGTAGGGTGGCCTTCATCCTCTCTTATGGGGTGCATTCCCAAACAACTTTACAAAACAGCTAGAGGTTTTTTCCTTGTGTAAATCTAAGATCAGTGACTATTTGGGAGGGAGGAGGAGATTTGTCCCTTGGCTTTTTTTAGCAATTCATGCCACATTTAGAATGGGAAAAAACAAAAGTAAATTTCTTTCAGAAACATAGAATAAAGGCACTTAGGCAGTTTGTGCGTTAATGTGTTGTACTATATAAATGGATATTTCTGAAAACATGTTAACTGTTTCCTTAGAAAATCAAATGCAATTCCATTGTGTGTATGATGTAGATTTCATGTTGCCCAGCACTTTTAAGCCTTACCATTTTTTCTTTCTGTGGAAATAATGGAACTTTACTGTATAGACTGTATTTGCTTGTAACTTTGCCAGAGAATTCTTCTGTTCTATACACCTTAGCTTTTTATAATTCAGCAGTAGGTGGTATCTGCTAAAGTTTAAATCTTATATTAGTCACGGCTACTAAAATTCCTCGATGTTGGTAATGCATAAGAAAAGACGATATCAGTCAAAAAACCCAGGAGATACTGGAGAAGCTGAAAAAAAGGCAGAAAAGAAGCAAAATCACTGAAAATCTTTGAGAGCAGACAAGTAGAGAAGGGGCACCCAAACTCTGTTTCAGAGAGAAGAATTACCAGAGCCTGGAAACATGCACATCACTTGCATTGTGTGTATGTATTCTGGAAATGGTTTTATACCCTGGTTAAGAAGAGCCCTAAGCTAACACAAGGAGTTTTTCAAATGTGTCTGGTGCAGGAGGGCTGTGAATGAAGGTTTGTTCTCATCTGCACCAGGAGGGGTGAAACTAGCTGAAATGCTGACTGAGCGAGTCATCTGTGCTGGACATGGCATGTTACCTGGCCACGTTGCAGTATCTGCCATTTACATAAAGAAAAATCGCTAGCAAAACAACTAATATCATAAGTAGTTTTGTGGGGCTTTTTTGGGTTTACGTTTTGCTTAGTTTGTGTTTTCTTTTCCAACAGAGTCTTTTCTCATTCCTCTGTCTCCTCCATTTATGCAGATAAAGTGAATGAAACCACATAAAATACTGGGAAGATTTTCAGCAGGCAGAATGGAAACTGGTATCCCATTACTAGTGAAAGTCAGAACTTAGTCCTGTTCTCTCTGCAGGCCTTCTTTCTGTTTAAGGTCAAGTTTTCATGGATAGTTTAGATAATCTGACTGCAATTTAACCACTACAAAAACCATCTCAGATTCAGTTAGGTTCTCGAGGTATATGTACTGAAATTCATGCATACTTTGAACTATTAGTTGTTTTGTATTTATAAACCTGATTTTGGTTACAGGACTGTTGGTGAGGAATTTAGATGTCTTCAACATCTCATTCATATGAACTGATAACATTAGCTGAAAATCCTGGATTTTTTCCTAATAGATTCAAAATTTTTTACAAGTTTATATAAGTGGAAATTAGATAAATCAGAATGTTATGTAAACAATGGGTTGGTAACTGCAACATAGTTCAGATGAAATTGAGTAATAGAAATATTTTAAAGCTTGGCCATATGTAGAGTGCCATAGAATTATGATGTCCAGAAAGATTTGGTCAACAAATCTAGAACAAGCACACTTTTAAGCTGATATACCTCAAATTTAAAAAATATTAAAAATCCCTTGTAGCCATTAAGGTACCTTTGAAATGAAAGATACTTGAATAATTTTTCTATGACATCTGCATATTTCAGGAAGTCTGGTGATTTCTTTTAAATTACTTTGGTTTTGTTTTTGGTTGTTTTGTTTTTTGGTTTTGTTTTTTTTTTTTTTTTTTTTTTTTCTTTGGTCACTTGTTCCCATAACTCCTTTCAGTATAAACAAATTATTTTCCCTAAAATACACAGGCCTGAAACTCAGCTGGCCCAATTTTCACCAAAAAATTGAGGACTTTGTAGGGGCAGTATGACTTTGTGACCATAACAGGTCTTTTTCCCTCAGACTACTCTTACAAGGTTACTTTTTTTTTTTCTGGTTTTAGGTAAGTTTTTTCATCACCAGTTTAACCAATAATAATATATAAACATATATATTTTATAAATTATCTATCAAACTGTCATTCTCTTATAGAATTCTGTAACTGGCACTTTATATTATATTCTAGTTTCATTCCACTGTAAGATACACTATTTCTTTTAAAATCTGAAACCAATCAAAAT